ACTAAAGTAGAACTCACAAACATGCCTTGAGTTCCTGAGGCAAGGTGACATTAGGGTACATGTCTTCTTTCTAGCTGTTCGTGGGATAGTCCTGAAACTGATCATGTGCTGATGGCTATGGTAGAATTTATACGGTAGTACTCTTACAAACAATGCTTTCTAAACATGACATAATGAAACTATAAGTTAGTTTTTAAAGCAACATTTGACATTTTTATTGGAAAGCCAGTTTTAGTTAAAAGAGATTTACAAACTAAAGTAGTGGAACTTCTGAGAAATAGTGATTAAATATAAATCAGAATCTGTGGAACTCATTAAACAGGGAATGGGATCAGACAACTGTTGGTGATAACGGAATTACTCATGCCTAAAAACTTACAGAGCAGCAAGGCAAAGAACAAGAGGCTTAGGCAAAACTTTAATGATGCTAGAGTGGTGAAGAACAGAATGTAGTGGGATCCATATGTCCAAACTCTGCAGAAAAGAACGGGGAAACAGCCAATGAGACAAACCACCGTGATGTAATCCAAAAGAGGGGAGAAAAGGTCAAGTATGCAAAATAAAAGGTACGAAATTTTTAAAACAGCAAAACAATAAAAATAAATGAAACAGCATATGTCTTGAGACACTCTAAAGACTTTGTAAAATACGGATGAAAAGCCAGGGACAGTAGACAATTTCCAAGGAAATACAGATGGCCAAAAATAACACTTGAACCAAGAAGTAAGTGTCTCTAGGGGAAATAAAGTCATCAAGGAGCTTCCCCAGATGGCAGTGCCAGCTAAGTCCAATTGCATGAGGCCTTTCTGGTAAACCTTGGAGCCAGATATTTTCAATGTGCTATAAATTTCCTTAGAGTCAAAGAAATAAAAGAAGTAGAAAAAAAATCTTCATTCTTCACTGTAAAACAGTATCACCCTAATAGTGCAACCTGATACAGAATTTAAGAACCCACAAACCAATGACACTTGTTCATTTAGATTCAGAAATACTAATAAATTATAAGATTGATCAAGTGCAGTTTATTCCAGGAATGCAAGATTGGTTTGAGGTTAGGAAAATCATTTACCGATGAAAGTCAGCTATTGTGATCAGTACAGTGGGGCTTTCCTTTATACAGAAACAGAGGAGATTGCATAATTAGAGATAAACTTAACGTGAAAACCAAAACCTATACAAGGAAAACCTAAAAATATTACTGTAATATATGAAAGCAGACTTGAGAAATATAAAGACATTGCCTGTTTTTGGAAAGAACAACTCAACATCATAATTCGTTGATTCTTTCCTAAATTATTTTCTCAAAAGTAATACAATAGTAGTAATCATACAAGCTTTTTTTTTAAAGAAAATTAAAGTTTCTTTTTAAATTTAAAATTAAAAGTTTCTTTAAAAAAAAGAAAATTAGAAAGTTATTATATTAATAACACAAGTATTTTGTGTTTTTATGGATTCGCTGCCGTGCCAGCATGAAGGTCTGAGTTTGAATTCCCAGAACTAATGTAAAAAGAGCAGGCACCAGCAGGTCTGTCTGTGGGCGAGGGGAGGTTAGAGGCAGGTGAGTTCCGGAAGCTCACTGGGGAGTCCCGCAGAAGAAACAGTAAACCCAGGAAGCAGTCCTGAGCTGTCCTCCAGCAGGGCCCACCGATGCAGTGGGTTTCACAACCCACCGTTCAAGTGAAGACCCTGCAGGAGAGCCAGCCTGACCTGGCACAGCATCTCACACTCAGGAGAACGTCAGAAAAAGAACTTTTGGCCCTAATAGGAACCCACAGGGAGCAGAGGACACCTCCAGCCTCTCCTGACTTGATCACCTCCTGAGCGCTTTAAACACCTCCACTGAGAGAAGAAAGGGGGTGTGGAGTCTTAAAAGAAACACTCAGCCAATGAGATGGCACCTAATGCCCAAATCCAGAGCAGAAATAAAAATGGCATTTAAGCAGACACAAAAAAGCAAGAACAATCAGGGAAACAAAGGGGGAAGGAGAGGGCAGCGTGAAGCGAGAACAGACAACGTGTGGGGTCAACACGTTGTCACGGTGCACAAGCCTGAGGAAGATGGCCACACGTCTGGGGCTGTGGTGCATGTGTCTGCAAGTCATGGGGACAAGATGATCTTTGCGTAAGTCATGCTACAATGCATAGGTAGCCATATGTAAAGAGATGGAATGAAGAGCATGTAACTCAAAAAATAAATTCCAAAGCAGAGACCACATGGGACCAATGAAGTTACATAAGTTTAGCAGAGGAAAACAGTGATTTCTCTTCAGTGTTGGCTCCATCTAATGCTATATTAAAAACAACAAAAGATTATTTATTATGACCGCACGAAAAATGGTGGGGATTTTTGCATTAAAAAAATCATGAACATTATCAAAAGTAAACTGATTGAGGCTGAAGAGATGGCTCAGGAGTTAAGCTGCTCTCGCAGAGAACCCAGGTTCAACTCCTAGCACCGACATCATAGCTCATGGTCACCTGTAACTCCAGTTTCAGGGGATCTTATGCCCACTTCTGAACTCCATGGGCTCCCACACACATGTGGCATAGATAGACTCATTCAGGCAAGACACACATACATAGGAATAAAATAAATCTTAAAAATAAAGTCAAGTGACGAATTTGGAAAACAAAATTACAAGTATCACAGACTTGTTTTGTTTACATGCCAAACTAAAAAAGCTAACAAATATAAGACAATAACAGGAAGAGATTTATAAAAACAATAGAATGGCCTGTACATATGAAACAGCCATTTGTAACTAGAGAATTGCAAATTAAAGCAACCTTGAAACAGCCCTCCTCCCCCATGAAAATCTGGGGTGAAACTCCTGCCACAGGGGAGGCTCCAGGGACATGGCTGCTTCACACATGTGCTGTCTTCCCGTATAGCTCCCGTGTGTCAGGGGAGAACGGTTAATATGGACTCTGCCCTCACTGAAGAGATGTGTGGCTCAAGCTTGGTCCGAGAACTGTGCTCATGGAGGCTCCCAATCGTACTTTTGTCTTTAATGAAAAACATTAAAAAAATGGGGGCATTTTCTAGACGATACGCTGGTAGACACTGAGGGGCTCTTTTTTTAAGATGTTGGTTGGCACACTATCACTATTTCTGAGTTTTATCTGAGAATGAGGTTAAGAAGTCGCCATGTGAAGGCTGCGCATTCCCTTCCCTTCATCTTTTGACTCCTCTATCCCTTGCTAAGAGCTGAGCCCATGGGCACATTTGCAATATATAAAAATCCCTAAGCATCAAGCCACTCAGCATAGCCATATCTGCTTGCAAACACTGAGACTGAAAAGCCCCTACACAGGCCTGTGACTGTATGAACTATGAGGAGGAAGGCAGAGAGAGGAAAATGACAGAAAGGTAGGTGTGCGCGCGCGCGTGCGCATGTGTGTTTGTGCATGTGTGAATAGGCGTCCTGCTTGTTGAGCAATGTCATCATACCTGATTCTTGGTCTTTTAGGGGGACTTACCTGGGAAAAGGAGCTAATCAAAAAGTTAGGCAGTGTTGGGGGTTGGTCTGATGCATGTTATTGGCCCTCAAGATCTGGTCATTGACCACCAGATATACCCAGTCCTTGTTTGTGTAAACCTGCCTAGAACATTTTATCTGATTGGTTCATTAGACGGCCTATACTTGAGCAGGGCAGAACGGGGTAAGCATGGCTAAGGTTCCTGGGCTTTTGAGGATGGAAGAATTATGAGATGAGGACAGATGAGAAAGAAGGAGGAGGCCCCATTGGGTTAGCCTGGAGAAGAAACCACATGGGGCCCGGAGAAAAGACTCCAATAATGGTGTGAAAAGGTCTGGATGAAGAATACAAGCAAGTATTTTTAAGATTACAGATGGAAGATAGGATGGTTATGGAGGATGGCTTTGGATGGGGGCTAAGAGATGGATGGTGAGGATATTCAGACAACATAGAGAGGAATGTCTGCCCGGCCCAAAGTAAATAAGGCAGTTATAAAATCTAACAGGTGTCTGTGACTTATTGTTTGTGATAGCGGGTTAGATAATACCGCCGTGATAATCATAGGGCTAATAATAATAAACATGATATAGCCCTACAGTCATTTATTCATAATTTACTACATCAAGGCAGGGGCAGGACAGCACTAAAGAAGCCATCTTGGGATGGACAATGAACATGGGGATGACTTCCAAGGCCAAGTCCAAGAGGATGAGCTCGGGAATAACTCAACTATACTTAAATCAACTGTGGTTGGCCTTATTGCCCAACATGAGTAACAGTGGAGGGACTGTGAGGAGTAAGTGGTGGTTTCCGCCTAGCTCAGCACCCTCATTACAAAACGATGCCCGGTAAACGTGTCTGCTTGGCAGGCACTGTGCCAAACCTTCAGGCAATTTGTACAATCGCCTGACAAGCTTGGGGCTGGTAAACGCTCATCTTCAGTAGAATCATGTTTATGTTTATACCATGAGACTCTTACTTAGAGCTACCCAGGCACCAAGACTAGTCTGTGGAGAAGCTACGTGGGGAGCGGGTGGCAAATGGCTGGATCCAGGGCCCCACCAGGGGTGTGCTGGTGACCTCCTCTGCCTGTGCCAGAGGCCACCGTGCTTTGGAGCCTTGCTCTGGCTCTGTGAGTCACATTTCAGCTGCTGCATCCTCCTGTATGCTGCACACTCCTTTCCTCGTCCTACCCCAACTCAGGGCAAAACAGCTCTCTCAGCCCGGGGACATCACACCTCCCGGAGCCCCTGTGCACTGTCCCTGTCAGAAGGCAGCTTTTCCTGACTCCCTCAGTCTTCCGTCATGGAGGAGACATGACTTTGCTGGAAGCGTGCAAGCAAGGGCTTTCTTTCCTTCCTGGCCTCCAGTCATGGAGAGAGGACATTTCTGCTCGAGGGAGGAGGGGGACCCTCAGCCTCAGAGAAGAGCTACTTCACTCAGGGGCTGCTGCTGGCAAGTGCATCGGATGCTGGCTCCCTGGTGGCTTTTCAGCCCAGTAGGGACAGTTAGATACTTACCATTATTTTCTGGATTCTCCTTGTTTGTAGATGAGACTTCTAAATTCTCCAGTAACTCATGGTAATTCTCAGAGCCATCCTCTTGGTAATTTTCATCAATGTCAACAACTTGGATGAAGAAGATAGAAAGAAACCAGAAAGGGTTTTCTTGTTACACACTGTGAACATTTGGGGGTGGGTGGGAGAGGGGTGGATAATCCTTTTACAACAGGGATTTTGGTCTGAAAGGACAGCACTGTGTTCAAGTCCTACTTGAAAAGGTGTGTTGGGGAATTAATACTTAAATTAGGTATCACCCAGCTACTTTGAGCCCAGTGGTTTATATCTAGGCAGCTATGAACCTTAAAATCTAGCCACATCCAAACATAAAACCCCCAGGAAGTGCTGAGACCTCCTGTGTCTGGGTGTGCTGGCCACAGTGCTTCTTAATCCAGACCTCTCCTTGCCAGTGTCCATCACATCGTCTCTGCACAACCCACAACGTGGAGATGTGCTTTGCAGAGTATATACTTTGTCTCTGTCCACTGCTCTTCTTGGTCTTGGCATGTCACATACTAACCCTTGGCCTTGCCTCAGCCACGTGGCCTAACAGAGGGGCTGTGCCCCCTCGGAGTGGTAGGTGAGGGCAACGCAATGGTACGTGTTACCGATCTGGTTCATTCTGTAAGCCTGTGTCCCTGCAGTGGCTGCACCCCACTCACAGGCTGAGCTCCAGTAAGAGCATGGATGTGACTCAGCGATCACCCAGACTGAAGCAAGCCACACTGCCTTGGAGGTGACTTTCTCTTTGTTCTCAGACCACAGCTTCTCAGACGTATCTGTGGCTGGTTCAAGTACATGCTCAAATACAGTCATATAGTCACACCTTGGGCCCCTGGGGCTGAGGGGGTATACTTGCATTTCTCCTTGCTTGTTACTGTTGTTGCTACCGTTGTTACTGTCGTCTGTGGCGCTTCAGACATTGCTGTGTTGTTTGGCTCTAAAATCTCTTGGGCTAGAATTTCATCTTGAGAAAGCATATAAGAACATGTTAGAGCCAGGGAGGGAGGACACATGTCCTGTCCACCGTTTGTATTTCAGGCACTCTCTGAATACTGTTGGTGGAAAGCAGAAACCCAAGGAGTTCATGGACTCTTGAGAGAACCTCATCTTGAATGGGCTGGCCACTGCCTCCCTAAATAATTTCAGAAAAATGGATAGCATCTGAACATCTCTTAAACCTCGCCCCCAGATGTTGAACAGCCCCACACTGTGTTTTAGTTAGCTTTGTCATCTCTGTGACTCAATCCCCAAGGAGCAACTCAAAGGAGGAAGGAGTAATTTTGCTTTCAACTTCAGAGCTTTTGACCCATGGTGGCACAGAACAGCTCACATCATGGCAGCCGGGAAGCAGAATGAAGACCAATGAGGAACTTGGGGAAAAGACATCCCTTATCCCACTTCCTCCAATTCACACCTCATCTTCCACAGCACAGCTTGATGACCATTTGATTGATCAGCAACTGATTCAAATTTGGAATTCACTGGCAGGTTAAAGGAGTCATCACAGCCTTCATGACCTAACCGTCTATGGGAATGCTCTCACATACACAACACAGAGAGGCACACTTCACTGATCTCCTAGGATTCCCTTGTAGAATGCAACCCTCCAAAACATCATCTTCACTACACCTGCTTGCAAGAAGCCATTGCTTGAGCTTGTTGACTATCGACATTCCCTCATGGAAATAGGAAATAGGGAGAGTCTGGTTGGAAGCTTCTATGAAACGTAACTCTTGTATGCTGTATGTCCACAAAGCCAGCATCAGGTGGATGAAGCCAAGACATTTTGCAAATATGAGCAGTAACCAGGTCCACCTGGACCTGGCAACACTGGCGTCTTAGAGCTAGGTGACTGGGTACTGTAAGAATGCTAGAGAACAACTTCCCAGGCAGCCCCATGGTGAGATGTGTGCCCCAGGGACATTGTTTTTTCAAAAGAAAAAATATTCAAATAAGTTTACCCTTTCAACCTTGAGCCAACGATGGATCTGGTCAACTGCCACAAGGTCCTAGATGCATTAGAGTGCTTGGTATCCATACTCTTTTTTGATATCCATACTCTTTTTAGAAACCATGGCTTCCTTAGCCCCGACTTTACACAGGTTTTTCTGATCAACCTGCAAAATTTTCAAGTCTTTCTGATCTGCTCTCGTTCATGGTTCCTACTGTAAACCTGTCTAAAGCATCCAGCAGTAGCCATGCCATAGCCTAAAAGTGGGACTGATTTAACAGTTTCCTCTTTTGGTTTAATCAGTTCATTGCTTTTAACTCAGTTTCCCACAAAGCTGCAAGAAATAAGCAAAAGATAGATAAGCTCTTGGTGAGAACATGACAGATGTCAGAATAATTCCCGATAGGGTCGTCATTTCCATATGAAACTTCATGAGGCTCATGTCTTAGGGTTACTATGGCTGTGATGAAACACCATGACCAAAAGCAACCTGGGAAGGGAAGGGTTTGTTTGGCTTACACTCCTGTATTGTAGCTCATCATGGAAGGAAGCCTGGATAGGAATTCACATGGGGCAGGAACCTGGAGGCAGGAGCTGATTCAGAGGACCATGGAAAGGTGCTGCTTACTGGCTTGCTCCTCATGGCTTGTTCAGCCTGCTGTCTTACAGAACCCAGGACACCAGCCCATGAACAGTACCACCCACAGTGGGCTGGGCTTTCCTTCATCAATTACTAATTAAGAAAATGCTCCCAGGATTGAGCACAACCTGATTTTACTGAGACTTTTTTTAATTGAGTTCCCTTCTCTCAGATGACTTTAGCTTGTGTCAAGTTGACATAAAATCACCCAGCACACCTGGCCTCCACTGTCTACATTCCTATTGCATTCTGGCATTCTGAGCTCCCAACAGAAGCACCCACTTATCTCAGTTTATAGTATCCTAAGCTTTCTCTAGTTCACATCTTCAAGCTTTCCCAACTCCCACCACCACACAAAAACTAGTTCCAGAGGCAAAAGAATCATAATATCAAGTTTAATCATAGCAATCACCCCATATCATGGATACCAACTTTCTGCATTAGGTTTTGTTCCTTGGAAAAGTAACCCAACATAAATGACTTAAGTGGGCAAGTTTTCAACCTATAGCTCTTGACACCACTGATTTTGGTTCTTTAGTGAAGCAACATTTTATGACAGTTTGGAACATGTGTCAAGAAGAAGCAGATCAGAGAGCAGCATCAAGAAGGGGACAAGGTAGGATATAGCACTCAAGGACACACAATAACAACCGATTTCCTCTGACTGGTCCCATCTTCCAGAATTCTACTGCCTCTTAAGAGTCTGTTCAAGTTTGGATCTATCTGTGGACTGAATCATCCAGTAGTCAGAGCATCCACAATCCACTTGGCTTTGTAATTCTCTCACAGGCCTAGAGCTGCACTATACTCATCTCCAAGATACCTCTTCATCTAATTAAGCAGACAAACAAGAGTCGCTATCATAGCTCATGTGTTACGAGCTTGGTTGCCAGGGTGACACTATTGTGAAGTGATGGAGCCTCTGGGTGAGGTGTAATCGGAGGCCTTTAGGTCACTGGGTGTGCCCTCTTTTTTCCTGGTGTGCACTGGGTGTTTTGCTTCACAGCACATTATATCCATGACATCATCACAGGGCCCAAAGCATCAAGGCTAACAAATCATTGACTAGAAGCTCCATAAACTGAGCCGAAATAAACCTTTTTCTCTTAAAAGTTTATTACCTCAAATACTCTGTCACAGTGATGTGAATTTGACTAATACATCTTCCAAAACAAAACACAGAATATCTGGCTGTAGAAATAGTCACGATTATTCTTCCTACCCTACTGTCACTCTGTCCCATCTCTGCCCCCAAATAGGAATGAGCACCTTTTCTTATTTTTAACTAAATGTGACCGTATTTTATTCACTATGCTCTTCTGATCTCTCCTATTAAGCCTCTAACATAAGTTTTCTGGATGTTCAAACTCAGACTCTTAATCCAACTCTTTCTTGGTCAGACATAATCTCTAATGATTTTTTAAATACATCTCTGACATTCAATGGTCCTTCTGTAAAAGTGGGGACTTTTTTTGTCTGTTTGTATTGTGGCTTTTATAAGGCACCCTGCATGGCATGAGACTACAGTAGAGGTAAAATAAGCAGCATCTTGAAATAGTCTCTCTTTCTGTAGCATAATGCTTTTCTGGACTAGGGACAGTGCTGGGCAGCGACCTGGAGCCATGAGTGACCTGCCCATGCTAGTGTCAGGAGCCTGGTCCAGACAGTCTATAGTTACCGCCAGGGTCTCTTCCATAGTCTTTGGAATATGGATAGTATTATACCCGCACCCATCCCCCATCTCTGTGGAACAGCAGTGCATAGATCAATGGTACTCACGCTGTAGGGTAATTTGACTCTGATGTTGTCAGTAAAGCTGCAGGCTAGGACGACTGACTCTGGGCTCAAAGCAAGTCAGTTTTCCCAATGTCTGCAACCAGCGACAGGTTGCTTGGGAGAGGCCCCCTGAGAAGCACCTACCCATTTCCCACTGCACACCAGGTTCCATGTGGGGAATCCTTACCAAACACTTCAGGTATGTCTTCATTTGTTGAATTGAGTGAATCATCAGTAATTGAACCTGGGAGTAGATTGGGAGAAGAGGAAAATCTATAGTTTAACAGCACTCATCTGTTTTCACCCTGTTGTGAGGGGATGACTCCTTTTCCTACTCTAGAGATAGGGCCCAGTGTGGAGTGCTGGTCTTTCCAGTGTGTGCTGAAGGAAGCCCTCTGGGCCTTGAGTTTCTCATATGGAAAGTGGGAAAGGTGTTACCCATGGGGCAGCTGTGTGGGTGGAGCCCACAATTTCCCCAGGCACCCCAGGCACCCTGCCCTCCCTGTCATTGGAGTCACCCTTGTGGAGGGTAAGACAGTGTCCATGCTCAGGAACAACTCAGCTCCATGGGGGCAAAAGAAGGAAGAGGATCACATGCTTCGTTTGTAGGAAGCAGCGCTTTGTCTCCAGCGTGGCTGGTGACACCATCTGAGTGGCCCAGGCTGGGAAGCTCCAGCCTTGCATCCCACCGGAGCACCCCAGAGCGCAGCTCAGCACACAGTGAAGAGAAGCACTTGCCAGCCTCTGACTAAGGCTCCCCACGTCGCCAGCCAAGGACTCGCTTGTCCTGCGTGAAGACACCTCATGCGAGTTTCTCTGAGACCCTGGGTGGCCCTGCACATTCACTTGTGCTACCTGGGGTTCTATGAGGGGGAGGACCAGAGACTGGTCCCCTCATTCCTCCTGCAGGAGCAGAGCCCTCCAGGGTGGGCTGGCTGCAGGTAAGGAGTGGAGTCTGATGAGAGAGATGAAGAATTCTGTGGCGCCTGTCTCCAGAGCCCAGAGCTGTCTTATCTGTGATGTCTGCTGAGAATTCTGAGGACTAGTTTTTCCTCCACTCTCTCCTTCCATCCACCACACTCTTCCTCCTTCTGACATGCCCTTTCTATCAGGGGCTGTGCTGGCTCTTGACCTGGCACATCCCTTAGTTTGAACTCAAGGTTGGCTTCTTCCAGATCCCAGGTCCTGGGGCCCCCAAAGATGACAAGCAGAGCCACCGTACCTTCCCTTTCTGGGGTACAGAGCTCTGTCTGGGAGAACTAAAGTTGCAGCTAAACCAGTGACAAAGCTGTTCTCAAAGGCTTTAATGACGGACAATCTGCATCCCAATGGCTCATCTGCATGGCTCAGAACAATGGGATATGTAAGGAGGTCTGTGGTGGTGATGACAATTGCTTCTCAGTGTGCTGACCTTGGTAAACCAAACAAACAGTACAGTTTCTCTTTGCATGAGACATTAATGGAGCATTACGAATGGGTACAGCTGCGCAGCGCCAGCACTTTGTTAAAATATTCTTTTCATCTCGTGTCTGTCCCATAATCACAATGGAAGCATTGTGCAAGTCAGCCGTGTGCACATGCGTGGTGTGTATTCTCATGTTGTCCTGCCTGTTAACTTGCATTGTCAAATGTAGCTGCTCTACCACGCTCTTCCTGTTGCCACCTCCTTCTAAGAGTGGCAGCTCAGACAGCACACACCCACAAGGTCGGAGGCACTCAGATATCTTATCACTGTCCACATGAGCACATTCTGGCCTCATGAAGTTCACTGTTGAGTTCTGAGTTCTTAGGTTAATTAAGTGAACACCCTTCCCTATCAGAGGGGCAAATCAACCGCTGTCCTACTCAGTGGTCAGCACCTCCCTGTGAGAGACCCACACACTGGTCAGGTACAGGTACAGCTCCTCTCCTGGCAAGCAGTGGGAGCACCCCAGGACGGGACAAGGCTGCCTGGGTTACCCTCAGGGCAATGTGGGAACTGCTCTTTGATGGGCCCCTCAGCTGAAGAAGACCCTGGGGTCACACAGAGCTGTGACCAGGTCTCAAGCTGGGAGGACCTTGAGAGTCACCCAGATTTCATCCAGGTCTTAAGTGGCAAAAACAAAAAACAAAAAACAAAAAACAAACAAACAAACAAACAAACAAAAAAACACCTCAGGAGCCACCCAGGTCTCAAGCTGGAGAAGATGTTGGATGTTATCAAGACTCTGGCCAGAACTCAAGGAGTAAAAGTAGCGAGCCATAGCAGCAGCAGTAGCAGCAGCAGCAAGCTTGTCAACAAATATCTGTTGACCATTCGCTGGGACAATCAAGAGCTGGCTGGGCATGGACACGTGGTGATGGCAGAGACATCAGTGAGGATGTGTCTACTATGCCAGCGTTAAAACCTCCCAGCCCTAGTACCTACAACACTCTTCTAGTAAGCACTTCAGAACGTAAGTAAAGGAAAAGCAGGAGTGTTGACATATTTCACGCCATTGTTGGACTGTGGGGACCACCTACCCCTGTACAAACATTGAACCAGGCTAGACTGTCCTGTCTAGGCCAATATTGGCTGTGGCCGTTAGTGCTCAGGGCCAGCACAACATGCTCTATGCTGAGGAGAGTCCTATGAACCCTGTTTGTGTGTGTGTGTGTGTGTGTGTGTGTGTGTGTGTGTGTGTGTGTGT